TGGGGGGATCTATGGGGTTGGGGCCCCCAAGAAAAGAAAAAGCTTAGTCAGGATTAATGCAAATGAAAGACAATTCTGGGTGGAAAGTTTGAAACGTTGAGGTAAAAGTTTGTGTTAATAGATGTGGGAGTCGCTTTCTTTGGCCATGAAGATGGGCAGAGGTGGGGAGAACATTTGTTTGGAGGGAAGACAAGTAACAGTACTGCCAAATATGGATATTCTTGTTCTGAATATACTTAATGTTCAGCTTCCTGGGCTCGATTCTTGTGAATTCTTTGGTCATAAAAGAGCAGTGCCACGCAAGGGCTGCACTGGAAGCAGAAAGGTTCTGCATCGTGACTCTTTCTCAATAGAATCATTGTAAGCTATTGTAGATTGTCAGTCTTGGGTGAATTTAGAGCAAGATTTAAAGTCTTTCTTTAACTCTCTTTTGCAGGGGTTCCAAGCATCACTGGCCAAAGAGATAGTCCTTGTTCTGGGAGCTGTGGGAGCTGCTGAAGGAAACAATAGACAGAAGTAACCATGGAAAGGCAAATGCTGGTCAATGAGCAGTTTTCGTACAGAAATGTTTTTAAGCCCATTAAAACCTTTTTTTTTTTCCAAAAGGGAAAACATCTTCATTGCTTTGGCTTTTATTGTATTCACACTGTTCTTTGTAATTATAATGTTGCCTTGTTTCTAATTTTGAAAGTTTGTCCTCAAATGCAGTCAGATTAAGCTTAAGTGGATATGGAGGAACATTTTGGCATCACTGAAGTCAGCACAAAAGTAATTGAGAGGCTCAATAGATGTGATTTAAGCTCCAGCAGTCCAGAGGAAGAACTAAGGCCAGACTGACCTTAGTCCTTGCTTACACACTGAACTGCACAGCTCACCTTTTACAAGACAAGGTAATGTGAAAAATGAGAATGTTCCTGGCAGCATTAGAATTATTAAGTAAAGGTTGTGAGGGGTAGGTGTGTAAGGGTTGAGGTGCCTGTTAGGTCAGACAGAGTAGGTAGTTGCTTTTTCTCCATGATACAGAGTGAAAGCAATGCTTTAATGTAGAAAATAAAGGCAGGGAGGTTCTGCGATGCAGCCAGATGTCAGCACAGCTATCCTAATGTGTCATGGTTGTAAATATTCACAGCCAGTAACCCGGATGCCTTTGTACAAAGAGAATCAGCCCGCGATTTGATTCAGGGGTGGCTGAGCTCATTCTGAGCACAGCTGAAAGCTGGGAGCACTCCTATGATTGAGGTAAACAGCTTCAGCATCCTGGGGTTGTATAAACCCATAGTTGTGCAGCGTTGTTGCTGGATCTCTGGTCACTGAGCAGTGCAACTCGCTCCCGCAGTCCTTGACTTTGCTCTGGTGTTTATTTCTGCCTAAAGAGATCCTCTGCCCTGCTCACCTGTTTGGGCAGTGACAGCATTCCTTCTTGGAGGTGAGGTGCAAGGACTGGCTGAGGAATGGTAAATCTTCCTTTTGCATTCCCAAAGCCCAGGGTTGCACTTTGAAGAAAAACTGAGGAGATCTGGTGGATTTTTGTTTCTTTTCAGTCTTTCCCTGTGTCTCTGTGGTACACTGGAAGGTTTTTTCCCCATGTGTTGTCCTCTGCTCACAAAGCCTGGCTGCACATGGGATTACATTTGAAGAGAGGCACATGAATAGCAGCTGAAGAAGCTGATGTAGCCGCTTTAGGAAGGGCTGCCCAACTCCCTTCTGCGCAGCTCTGACTACTCAGAAGTCTACTTCTGACTGACAACTGAACAAACTGAATTGAGTAAATCTTAATGAAAGACCAGTTGGCTGCAGAGGTGTTACAAATGATGCAGTTTAAGGCCCAGCTGGCCTGATGGGCAGTGATGGTGATGTATCCTGCTTCTCAGCATGAGGGGGTTTTGCTGTGGGTATGACAGGCTGTGCTGGGGCTGCTTCTGTAAGCCGGGCCGCTTCTGCGGCTGCTGTGCGCCCTACCGCGTTCTGTAGCGTCGCCGCGTGCTGCAGGAAGGGATTGCCTTTGCCTTCGCAGCACGCAGCCCCTAACTCTCCAAACCAGCCGTTTCCCGGGAGGCGGTTACTCGCTCAGCGCTCCCAGGACGCTTTAATTACTATGTAACAAGAAACTCTGGGCTCTGTTACAGGCACCAGCGTGGATCCGCGTGCGGAACCGCTCTCCGCCCCCGGCTGCGCCTCATCCCTGCAGGCAGCACCTCGGCCCCGCTCCCAGGTACGCCGGCACCCCGCGGTCCCTCCGCCTACGGGGGGCTCGGAGGCGCGGCAGCTCCGGGCGCGCCGCCGCACGTGGCCCCTCGCCGCCGGCCGCACTACCCTGCTGGCGCTGACGTCACGCCGCTCCGAGCCAATGGGCGTGCTGCGGCGGGCGGGCGGCCAATGGGAGCGCGGCGGCGCGCGCGCTTGCGGCGGAGGCGGGGCGGGGCGCGGCGGCGCGTGGGCCCCTGCGCTCCTGTGCTCGGCTCCCGCGCCGGCGGGGTCAGGCGGTGCGCGGGGCAGGGCCGGGCCGGGGGCACGGAGAGCGGCGCGGATAGCAGCACGGGGAGCGGCACGGGAGGCGCCGGGCCCGGCGGGGCGGCGTGGGGCGGCGGGGCCGGACCGGGATGGAGCGCGGCGCGGCGGCGCTGATTCGCGAGGGCTGGTTCCGCGAGACGTGCCGGCTGTGGCCGGGCCAGGCCATGTCGCTGCAGGTGGAGGAGCTCCTGCACCACCAGCGCTCCCGCTACCAGGAGATCCTCGTCTTCCGCAGGTGCGGCGCGGGGCGGCGGCCGAGGGCGGTGGGGGCCCCGCGGCGCCGGGGAGCGGGGGGAGCGCGGCCGAGGGCCGGTTCCGACCCCGCTTCCCCGCTCTGCCCAGCACCACCTACGGCAACGTCCTCGTCTTGGACGGGGTGATCCAATGCACGGAGCGGGATGAGTTCTCGTACCAGGAGATGATCGCCAACCTGCCGCTCTGTAGCCATCCCGACCCCCGCAAGGTAAGCCGGCCCCGCGCCCTCGCCGCCTCCCCGGGGCCCGCCGGTCCCCGCACTCCCGCGCCTCCCCGCACGCCTCTCCGCGGTGTCCCGCAGCCCTCCGACCCGCGTACACCTCCTTCCCTCCTCTCCCGCCCCAGGTGCTCATCATCGGCGGCGGCGACGGCGGAGTGCTGCGCGAGGTGGTGAAGCACCCCACCGTGGAGTCCGTGGTGCAGTGCGAGATCGATGAGGTGCGCGGGGCACACGGCAGCGCTGCCCTGCAGCGTCCCCCGGCCGCGCTTCACCTGCTGCCCTGTGACAGCCCTGAGCGCTGACGCCACTCCTCGCCTTGCGACGTGGCAGCTGCCTCCTGCGCCTTCCCGTGCACGCATGTGGCTGAGGCCCTTCCAGGCCGGCGCCGGCTCTCCCGGTTCCTGAAGGAGCTGCTTTCCCCATCCCCTGATGTGTAACAGCACATCCTCTTGCCGGAGGAATATGGGCTCTTTGTTAAGCAGGCTCCTTGCACTGGTAGCAGGAAATTAACGAGGGGATTTGTTTCCATGACAAATGGGCTGCTTCTCCTCGGTCAGTTTGCTCTGATGTTTTACTTTGAGAAGACAGCATAACTTTCTCATAAAACGAGGCTGCGCTGTAAATGGAAAATGCTGCTATGGGAGCCCCCATACCTGTCTGCCAAACCACGTAGGCAACACGTGCTTGGTTCTGAACAAGTGTGGCCTGACAGCAGAGCAGTTCTCGTCTCTGCCGTTTACGAGAAGCTGGGGATGCCCACTGCTAGTGCTTGGGCTCAGGCTGTCTCACACAGTGCATGGCTTGTAGCAATTTCACACAAAATATGTTGAGACTGAATGTAGTGACTCTAGAGCAGAGACGGGGGTGTTTCTCACGTTGCATCTATAAACCTGCTGCTGTGGTCTTGTCTAAAAAGGAAAAAAAATCCTAAATTGATATCACCTCTGCAAGTGATGTCCTCAGGGAAAAAGAGCACAGCAGCAGACAGCAGTCCGCAGTCAGATTCTCTTAGCTCCTCAGGGAGCTTTTGAAGCTGTAAGTTCCTCTTGTTGAGTTTGGCACGGACACAGAGTGTCAGTGAACTCTGAGGCCATAGGAAAGGGCTGAGTGTAGTTCGTTGGCTGAGGATGCTGACAGCTCTTGAGGATCCAGCTAGAGTGCAGTTTGTGCTGAAGGCATGGAAGGAAATGACTCATAGTGCTGCAGCTGCACAGTGGCCTGGAAAGCAGCTCCTTGTAGCCCCCTCTGACCCACTTGTGCTCTTTGTGTTGCAGGATGTGATCCAGGTATCTAAGAAATATCTCCCTGGGATGGCAGTGGGGTATTCCAGTGCTAAACTGACCCTGCACGTCGGAGATGGTTTTGAGTTCATGAAACAGAATCAGGAAGCCTTTGATGTGATTATCACGGACTCATCTGACCCCATGGGTAAGAATCCCGTCCGTAAAAGGGCACTGCTTTCTGCACTTCTGCTTTTCTCTCTGGCTGCCTTCTTGGAAGGCATTACTTGGAAGTAATGCTGGTCTGCCCAGTTTCTTTTTCAAGTGGAAACTCTGTCACTGACGTGGTTGTTTTGGTAGAAAAAGGGAAGGATGAAGACCAGAAAATTGTATTAATGAGGCTTCGAGGCAGCTGTCACATTTCTCTCCTCAAAATTCAATTGCAGCCACTAGTGCTTCTGGCAGGGAGTTGATCCTTGAGTCCAGTGATCCCATGGGAAATACAGCACCAGGCTGGCAAAGAGAGCTTTGCACATGAGCCCTCTAACAAAGCAATGGCTCATGTGCTGTTGGTGGATCTGTAGCCTAAAGACAGAGAGCTGCATTTCTGAAGGTGAGATCTGGGGCACAGAAGGGCAAATGTGGTTATGGTGCCTGAGTTTCCGTTAATCTTGCTCAAATCAACACAGAGACGTCTGTAAAAGGCAGATTGTAGCAGAAGTTTGATTTGAAGAAAACTGGGGCAAGAAGCAGCTGCCAGGATTCTCTGGTAAAGATCCTGGGACTGCTCTTGAGGAAAGCTGAAATCCTGGTGGTTTTGTTGTGCTAGGTGTAGGCTGAACCGCAGGGTCAGAACTCTGCTTTCAGATCGTCTCCAGCACTTGTCCTCACTGCAAAGCTGCTTGAACTGACTCCTGGTCAGTGCAGACCGCGTGCAGCCCAAGTGTTCCGAGAACTACGAGTCTACTTTCTGAGCCTCTCTCTAGATGTACCTTTTTTCTTACAGGTCCTGCAGAAAGCTTATTCAAAGAATCCTACTACCAGCTGATGAAGACAGCACTGCGCGAAGATGGGATTCTCTGCTGCCAAGGTGAGGATGCTCTCTAGGTAGAGGTTGATGCCGAATCATTACCTGCTGAGCGTGAGTCCCAAAGGGAGACATGATGCAGGGGGAAAAATTGATTTCAGCTGTGATGTAGGACATTAAATCCATTTTAGCTCCCAGGTATGGCAGTGGTTTTGATCTGTTTACGTCAACTCATTAAGAGCTGGTCTGCACATAGTGTAAAACTGGCGTAGTGGTCTTATCTCACCTCTGAAACTACATGAGCTGTCTGGAATGGAGCAGGTTTGGACTTGGAGCTGCTGTTAACTTGGCACAGGCCCGTGCAGAGAAAAGGGGCAGCTCTCACTTTGCATCCTGTCTTGCTCTCTCCCTGTAGGTGAGTGCCAGTGGCTGCACCTGGATCTCATTAAGGAGATGCGTCAGTTCTGCAAGTCTCTGTTCCCTGTTGTGGAATACGCCTATTGCACCATCCCTACGTACCCCAGCGGGCAGATTGGCTTCATGCTCTGCAGCAAGAACCCAGTGAGTTTCAGGCACCTAAAGTGCCCCTTTTCGCTCCCTGAGAATACTGCAGAGCTTGCCTCAGCTTGGGGGCTTCTGGGCTTCTTCTGGTCCCAGGTCTGTCAGCTCAGGGCACCAGAGGTGCAGTGCAGCTTGTTCAGCAGAGCCACAGTTGGCCTGTAACATAAGCAGTTGCTTTAGGAAAAATATTATAATTTTGTCTCCTGTACAACTAACTCATAAAGGTGAAAGATGCTTCTGATCAGAGGTCTGCTCTTTTCCTAACTTGATGCATTGCTGTTAACCCACAATGTATTTGTTGCACTGTTCGGGGGGGTTGGAAATCAGGCAGCACTTCTGCTGCTGTATTTAGTTTAACTGGGACAGTGGCAGCTTGCACTGTGCCTGACTTAACACAGATGCTGATTCTGCTCTGAAGAGCAAAGGCTCTTGATTCTGGGATGTTTGGGCACAGTCTGACAGCTTCATCTGGCACGTGGCTCACATTCAGTCTGACCTCATAGGCAGACATCTGTGAACAAGGGCTAGTCACACAAGGTACGGCGTGTAAACTCCAGCCCTTGGGGCTGGAGCTGCGCAGAACCTTTGACATCATACTAGAACAGAAAATCATCTGTTTTCCTGTGAGTCCTTTTGGTTCTCTGCCACGAATCGGGCTGCCCGTTGTGCAGCACTGTGCTTGTTTCCTAAATGCTACAGCACTACCTGGCTTCTCTGTTGCAGAACACAAATTTCCGAGAGCCTGTGCAGCAACTCTCACAGCAACAAGTAGAGGAGAGGAGTCTGAAATACTACAACTCTGACATTCACCGGGCAGCTTTCATCCTGCCTGAGTTTGCACGGAAGGTAAGTAGGGCTGTGCTGCTCTTCCTCCATCAGAATGAGGTGTGACTTTGCTTTGACAGGGCTGGGAATATACAAAGTTGAGGATTTGCTGCAGCCCTGAAGGCTTCTTTGGGCAAGTTGGAGCAGGGTGGCATTTTGTATGACATGGTACAGGATGAGTCAGTCTGGTAAGACTGGAGTTCAGTTTGGAACTGTTATTTGGGTTGATGTCCCGAGTTTTGATGGCAGATCACTCGTACTTAGCCTACCATAAATGAGTCCAAGAGCCTGCAGAACTGGTGTTTTCCACTGGAAAGCTCCAAAAGGCTTGGATTAAAAAAAAACTGGTTGTGGTTTTTAGTGCAAACCAGAGGAAAGGATGGTGTGTAGTTCTGTCTGCCTTCTTGAAGTCCTTCATCTCTAACTGCAGGTTCTAGCGGAGCGCATCCTCAGAGTGCCCTAGGGACAAGGGCAGGTGTTGTGGGTGTGTTTCAGAGCCATCTGTCTGCTCAGGACTGCTACATTTGTCCATCCTGACATTTTTTTTCTTGGCTGTTGCCAGGCCCTGAGTGATGTGTGAGACCCAGAAGCTACTTCCTCCTTTCGAGTTGGACCCTGAGATCATCAGTGATGTGGGGACCTTCCTAGCAGACTACAGATTTGCTCTCCACTGTGTGGGATCGTTTAACCCCTTGCCAGCCAACATTCCCTTTGATGTGTCATAACCCAGATAAGACTATTGAAAAGGTCCAGTGACTTATTGCGTGAGGTCAAAACTGTTGTTTGCAGTACTGGAAATGTAAGATGTCTTCTTCCTTCCTCTCCTCCCTTTACCCATTCTAAATTTGCCTCCACCCAACTGACAACGATATATTTATAACTGACGTGTATTTCTGTCTGGTGATCTTCTGAAACTTGGGAAGAGTCCAGGAGGTTCACTGACTCGGCCTTAAGCACAGAGAGCGAGAGCTTTGTGCACAGAGTTAGCTTGCTCTCTCCTAATAGAAGCTCCCTGCTGCTGAGACATTTTGACTGGTAACGGGTCTGAGCCTTCACATCCCACTGCCCTGCTGTGATGCCTGTGCTGTTCTGCAGCACAGCTGGAGAAATCACAGTGCAAACTGTTGCCATTCACAATAAGTCTCCCTCCAACCCTGATGGAGTAGCAGTATTAAACGCCAGCATGCCAGGCTGGCAGCAAAGTCTTGTGGCTTTTATTTTAATTTTTTTTTCAATTGGTTGGAAACAGAAATGCTGAGGTTCTGACAGGCTGACTCCTGTTCTTACCCCTGCCATCAAAATGGTTCCAAAGAATGTTTATCAATCAGGTGATAGGCGCTTTATATATAAAAATATAAATATAAATATATATATAAAAAAAATCAAACCTTAGATCCATTGCCTGCTGTTCAGTACTGATGCTGGGGAGGCAGTTGTGCTGATAAATCTCATCTCAGTCTTGCTGAGGTGCCTCAGGCCTGGGTATTTGCCAGTCGTTAGGAGGCATCGTTACTTCTAATGCTGCCCCCAGAAGTGTAAAGCTGTTTTTCATTTTACTGTGTTGTGAGATGGATTTTCCTCCACATCTACTTCTGGGTTAAAGTCTCCGTGCCACCGCTGTGCAACAGGGATCCGTTCCAGCACAACCACTGTGCAATTGTCACTCCCTTGCAATCAATTAAACACTCGGCTCTGGTTAAGGTGACGTGAGTGTGGGTTGCTGTATTTCTTTGGGGGGAGTGTGGGAGTGGTGACAAAGTCTGCAAGTTTGCTGTGCTTGTCAGAAGACATCCAGGGGCACTCGTAGTTGGTGCGCCCTCCTGTCTCCCTTGTCTCTAGAGCTGACAAACGTCATAAAAATAAGTTGTGGACAGTGATCCTGTTGCTTGCTTTGTGTTGTAACCTGGCTGCATTATGGCTCCAGCTTCTGTCATCCTCTGCACTGCAGAAGACTGTACCTTCTATTCCAACTATTTCCTAGTCCAAATGCTGCCTATGCTGTACCTTTCCAAGCTGTTCTCTATCTGCCCATCTCCCTGTGTGCATAGCTCAGTTCCTGTCAATCACTGGCCCCACTCAGTTGCACCATCTTCTCCTCTGTAAACTTGCAGTGGCTGAGTGGCTCTGAGGGCTGAAACTGCACTGAAGTCCCGGTGCTGAACAGGCTGAGAACAGTCGCTAGGTGGCATCAGGAGAATCCAAAAAAACATAATCCAGTCCTGAGGGAGATTGGGGTGGATGAGAGAAAACCAGAAGGAGCAGCATTTTGCAATGTTTGGGATTGAGCTTTGCCATAAATGTGACCTTGCAGACAGCACAGATGGTGCAGCCACTGCTGCCTACAGCAAGAGGCCTGCTTCAGTGGTGCCAGCAAATACCTTCCTGCTTTCTCCTTTGTGAGACTTCCCACTTCTTTCCTGCTGTGCCCCTTCCACTACCAGGGTCAGTGTAGCTTCTTTGTAGTTGTAAAGGTTTGCAGAAGCATTGCTGAGCTGCAGAGCTAAGTGGATAATGTTTTGTTGTGTTGTATCTAGAAACTTTCATCTGTTTTGTCTCTTAATAGTCTGGGAAACTCTTCTTTTTCCCACAGTTACTGATCAGTTAGATTTGTCCTTGTACAGAAGGCTATGGAGGCATTGTCACTGCTCTACTCTTGTGTGTTTATTACAAAGAGCAGATCAGTATGATAGAGGCTGGCTCTAGCTACTCCTCTTTAAATTGCTGTGGGATCTAAGCCCCATTCAGCCCTTCATCCTTGACAGAAAACCACCTTTAGCACCTTCTCTCTCCTGGAGCCAGATCAAGACTAAGACTGTAATCCAGGAAGGCCTCAGAGCAGCTGCCAACTGGTAACAAGTTCAAGCCTTCCACCCACCCTCGGTGAGTACAATGCCCAGGAGCAAAAGAGCTCCCTCCAACCTGTTACTGGCTTCCACACAGCTTCCTTCTGTTTTTCTGAGCTCTCAAGAAAGTTCAGTGAGTGAGCAGTGGTGGGAACAGGAGGATGGGGCTGTTTGCCATCTGATTTGCAAATGCTCTGTGCGTAGATAAGGTCCAGTAAACAATTTGAGTAGTTTTCTATCAGTATCCTTTACAGGCAGTCACACATTTCAGTGCCTTGCAATAGGCAAAGACACATCAGTGCTTGAATCGAGCGCTCATTAACAGTGCAGCAAGAGAGGAAGTGTGAATCTGTGCTTCTGTGGCTGGTTCTGTCTGAGCAGCTTGGAGCAATTATTGGTTTGGCTTATTGGTTAAGCACTGCCATGAGGTCTGCAAGACATATAACTGCTAAAGCAGCATTTGTTGTGGCAGTCACCTGTCAGGTAATGGTGTCTGCCGGTGATTATCCCTTCTGTAAGCATAACGAGGTGTGAGCTGTGATGCTGCAGGATGCTGTGGCACTGGGATGCCAGGGATTAGAAAGAGACTGACAATTTGGGATGTGTGTAACGGGAGAAAAATAATGGGATCTCCAACTGAATTGAGCATGAATGCTTGAAAGCTGTCTTTGCAGCGTCTCCAGTTGGGCAATTGGAAGGCTTGAGTAACTGTGCTGGAGTCTCAGCTGTGTTTTGCCTGAGGCTAGAAAGGCAAGGCTGCTCGTAAGCAGAGATCCACAAAGATGCTGTTTGTCTAGACATGCTGCAGTCATGTTCCTGTACCTTATAAAGCTGGGAGCTGGGTGAGCAGTGGCAGGCTTTGTCCCATGCACCACACATTGCAGTATCACTCGGAGCAGGCGGAGTCAGATGAGGTAACAGAGCCTGATGGGCTTCAGCACATCAATTCCTTCAGCCTCTTGGCGCCTTCTGAACTATCAGACTCCCTGTTCCGTGCGCTTTACTTATTAAACTAACTCAATTTTTCAGAGTTCAGAAAAGAGCTTAAAAAACTAAGAGAAATCTCTTGCCCATATCTCTTGAGCCCTTTCAGCCAGTTAATTGGTATGAGTGTCTTATTCATCCAGAGCTAATGTTATCAAGGCCTGGCTTGAATTATTGATGGAGCTTGGCTGGAGCAAGAGATTGCTGAAGTAGGAATGACAATTCATCTTGCATCAGAGAGCAGCAGTCTCAATAAGCAAACAGTCAAAAAAAAAAAAAGCCACCAAGTTCAGGGAGAGGCCAGTTTCTATGATAAAATGGGAGGAGAAAAAAGGAAAAGCTGGGACAAAAGCATGAAAAAGCAGCTCCAGTCTAGACAAAGTCAGACAAAATGTCATTAAAAAGTAAGATGAGAAATGTAATGAAGTTACGTACTGAGAAGCCTCGGTGAAGCTCTTTCCTGGCTGCGTACAGGATGGAGTTAAATGCTTTTAAATATGCAGGAGGTGGGGAATTAGAGCCAGGGGATCTCAATTATAGAACAGCAACATGTGAAGCAGATGAAGGCAGGAGGATCATTAGGAATGTGAAAGATGTCAGTGACAGGCTGTTCCTGAGCGGCAGCTCCACAGCCTGCAAAGCCACGCTGGGACCTGGAGCTGGCTGCCTCTCCTTGGTACTGAACAGCACTGAGGGAATTTGCTTAAGCAAGCTGCTCCTGCTTGCCAGCAGCAAGGCAAGGTGATGCATGTGATGACCTTTGTGTGTTTCATCCCTCTTCGGCTGCAGGAGAGGAACAACCTCACCCCCCATGGAGTGCATGAATCCCGTGTGAGGCTCTCCCAGCTGAGCGGTCCCTGGCAGGATCAGCCCTGTGTGCTCACGTCAGTGCCCAGCTGTTCCTGCCTGAATTCCCACAAGGCACAGAGCATGTGCAATCCCTCAGGAATCCCTTGCCACCGATGGGATGAGTCTGGTGTAACAGAGGTCAGTTCATGTGTCGTGAGGCAGTAGTCATCTCACACATCCTTAGCCTGTTTCACAGCCTGACGTTCCTCCTGCTTGGAGCTGGGCAAAGCATGGTTGGTGGAAAACTTGAAGAATTTTGAAGTAAGTGTCTCACAGCCAGTAGTTGTTTTTTGAAGATGGTTTTGAGTGGCAAACTTGAAGTGTTTTGACTTTACGCTGCACACTGAAATAAAAGGTTTTGAGCATACCACTGAAGCACTATGCCTGCCCTCCTGCAGTCCTGTCGAGGTCGATGGACAGAGAAGGCAGCGCTGCTCCTCTCACTCTGCCTCCCCAGAGAGCTGTAACAGGCTTGTAGTTATGTGTGCTCTGACAGCAGCATCCCTGTGGTATTCCCCTCCTCCTCCCTGCACCTGCTCTGCAGCTCTTATCAGAGATGAGCGGGAGCTGTAGGCTCCAGCCCACGCTCTTTCTTGGGTCTGTTAGATTAGAGCCAATGAAAGCCATGGCTGACACAGCCACCCATATGCTTTGTGGAGTCCTTTGGGGACTGCGCTGCGAGGGAACTCTGCAAGCCTGGCCTGATAAATCAGCTGTGATTTCAGACACATGGACAAATTGGTTTCCCCTTCCAGGAAGGCTCACTACTGTCAGATGAGCATTGCTTTATTTATTGTTCTGTCCTTTGCAACTAGGGACTCTTGAGGGCAAGCAGAAAGGCTTCCAGTGACATGAAAGCAGAGGTATTGCAACTCTTCCTTCAGCTGCAGTTGAGTGTCCCACCTTTGGGAACCTGACTGTTCTGGAAGCCTGATGCAATTCTGCAGCATGCTTCAAAAAAGTCTGGTCATCCAAATTCAAACCAGGCAACAAATGGGTAGAAGACAGCAAATATCCAAGCGACGGAGGAAAGTAATAGAGATGATCTAATTCCTTGATGTGGCACTTGGTGCCAGGCATTGTGTTCCCTTTTGTGTTCTAATAATGCCTTCACTGCTGTACCGATGCACTGACAAGAGGGCAATGAACTCCTTCGAAGACAAAATCCCCTGTGCATATTGCTTGGTCACCCTTTATCACAAAAAGATGGTAGTGGTAGTAATTGTGGAAGCATATTCTGTGAGCTTTGGTGCTCACACAGGCCTTTTCAGGCCGCCTTCTATGCTGAATTTCCATCTGGAGGATCCCCACCTGTACCAGGCTGATGGACGTGTTCGCAGGCGTGCTGGTAGCAGATAGATCTGCCCTCATTGTAAAGTGGTAGCAACCCACTCATACTGCTCCAGACAGAAGAGAGTGTCAATGAAGATCAATGAAAAAGGACTTCTAAATGAGTGAGTCAGGTAACTGAGGGGGGGGGGGAAGTTCAAGAGGATGTCAAGGGAAGGCCTTAAACCTCCCTGTACAGTGATAAGCATTTAAGGGTTAGCAAAAGAAAAGTTTGGGCCACCTTAAGGTCAGCCAGTCATGACAGAATGGGAAACAGTAGCAATCCTGGTGCAACCTGTTGATACTTCTTTCCTGTTACCACAAAAAACAAATGCATCACTGTGGAGTTACTCTGCTTCCTTTGGAGAAGGAAGTCAGCCCTAATGTTACAGGAGGCACCAGGGGCTGCAAAAGGGCCAGAGGATCAGAGCTTGAGGACAGGCCAATGTAGAGGAAAGGGAAGATGGAGGAAGCTGGGTATTGAAGGGTGCTGAAGCAGAGCAGCTGAGAGAACCTATTTGATTCCAGAGATTTGGTCCCAGTGTGGAACTGCTTCCATGTGTGCTTATTCCCTTCCCTCACAGCTGGGAAGAGTCCCTGCCTTTCCCTAAGTAGAAGTGCAGGTTTTGTCTGCATTGTGCTTGTCAGATGAATGCAGGTTTGGTGCTTGCATGTCTGGGCAGATACACTCCAAAGCCAACCCCATTAGGAGATGCTAATTATTTTATTATTGCCCTTTAATCCCAGGGCAGACTCACTCGCAGCTGAGTCACTCTTTGCATCCCAATGGGACCTCCTCAGAAGCTGATGTGCTCAGGCTCAGCACCCAGCATGGAGACCTGGTTGTACTGCTTTTGGGCTTATCTAGCTTTTGGGCTGCTTGGCCCATGAGGTTTAGTCCTGCCCTGTAAACAACAGTACAAGATTCACCTTCTGCTTGCCTGTCAGCCCAGCCACATCTCACACAGGTACATGCCCTTCGTTCCTCTTGAGCAGCCAAGCGTGCTTTCTCCATTTGCTGTTCTCCCATTTTTCCTCTCCCACAGCAGATCAGCTGCAGGTCATTTCGCAGGTCCCTGTGATTTGCTTTACTCACTGGAGTCTGCTCCTTCGCTGCTCTCTGTCTCGAGCCCCAGACATGCTTGGAAGTGTTTGACAGAATCCATTAAGAAGGGTAATGCAGCAATTCTGATAAACTAGCAAGATGAGTTTAAAAGGAAATGGGTGATGTTTCATCTGAAACTGGTGCATGGCAGCTAGCCCTCACAAGGAAGGATGAGAAGCAAAGGGGTTACAGTTTTCTCAGGAAAATTCATTTATAGAAATTGCTGGATCATTAACTCCCCACAGGTCCCTATCATTTAGAAAAACTTTTTACTTCTTTGTAACTTTTGGTGAGGGAATCCAGTGTTTCTTTTCAAAAACACATGGATGAGATGGCATCTCTTCTCTCGAGCACCCAGGATGGCATAGCTGGCATTAGGGGCTGGATTGTTTGCAGGCAGAGCTTCATTATGTTCTTTCCAAGAACTTTGACACTGATGAGCAGTGCAAGTGGGGAACACATCTTTCTGTTTCATTTTGTTCTGACACAGCAACCTTGTGGCTAAGTCACTCTGTTGTGCTTTCTTTGTGTGCTAATTTAGGATAATAATTCACCTTTTGACTGCTGGGGTTGGTTCAGAATGGAGCTCGCCTTGAGGCAAATGCTTTTGGAGAAAGTGAGATGAGATCCTTAGCTCTGTCACTGCATCTCAACAGAATGGGACAGTAGATGCCGCCCTGTGCGACAGGGGCAAAGCAAAGCAGGCAGCAGTGTTTATATAGTACCTTCTGCTGGTCCCCAAACCAGTCTCACTGGGATCATATTTTGTGCAAAGGGAGAAGCATTCTTTACTACTAATCAGGGGCAAGGGAAAGTAGGGAGGCATGCCAAGCAGCCTGCAGTCAGCGTCAACACATCGCAGGCTTCTTGAAGTCCCACTGCATGGAACAGCTCCAGTTGTTCAGTGCTTTGTTTTCCCTTTAATACACTCAAACCCAGCATCTCCAAGTCAGAATTCAATGTGTTGATCCATGGGGTTGGTTCAAGACACGTTGAAACAATACTAAAAACAAAAACCAGTAACTACCAGCTGGTCTTGTAGCTGTAGATACATTGGCAAAGTGTGATGTTATTGCATAGCTGCAACCTGTGTCCCCAGTTATTGTAAAGGGAAAGCCAGGCATACTGGCATTCCACAGTGAGGTATATCACAGCTTGCAGAGATCTAGATCCGAGTACCCATTGAGTCCAGAGCTGTTTAGACACAGAGGCTGAAGGTCTGAGTTGCTCGTATCCAGTACTGGTGGCCAAAAATTTTATCTTTTCCTTTTGAATCACCTAGCATTGGCCAGAGGTTGGTGCAAGCCTGGTGGCCTGTTCTAGCCAATGTTATGCTCCCAAGTGGAATTTAGCTAACTAGAAGAGACACAGACATTTCCTACGATTACTGGGGGTGAGCAGCATGTTACTGGAGAATCCCAAACCCTCGCTGTCGCTGCAGGTCTGGTGCATGGAAAGCCCAGAGGCACAGAAGTATCCCACTCAAGCAGCCAAGTGTTAACAACCTCTCCAAAGTCTAATTTGCCTTTGATATAGACTTAATTGTTTGCGTCACCCACTGGGCTAGGGGGAGGGCTATAAAAGGGGCTGCAGCCATTGTCTGAGGCAGAAGAGAGCCCAGAAACAGCTCCCTCTCCCAGTCTTCCTAATTCAGCACCGTAGTCACAGCCTGTGCATCATGCAGCTGATGGCCAGCCTGGTGTCTGTTCTGCTGCTGGTGTGGAGCGTGAGAGCCACGGCGCTGCCTGGAGAAGAGAGACTCGCGTTACAGAACAGCAGGGTGAGTATAATGCACCCTGTGCAGGAGCTGGGTGGGATGGGAGCATGCAGGAGCAGGCTGAAGTTGTCAGGGGACAGATAAAAAGGGCAGTTGGCTTTTACTTGATGTAAACACTTCTACCTCTGCGTGTTCCAAGACAGTACAGCTTCACGCGCTGCTGAAGCAGGGCTATTACTACAGCTTATTAGCCAGTTTATTTAGGAAAGGTACCACAGCAGACTCCTGAGGACTGCAAAACTGAAATCTGAACTAAGCAAAAACTGGTAAAGAAAACAGAGCGGCCAGGAGGAGGGAGAGGGAGAAAATAAGGTTGCTGAAGGAGTGCAGCATGAGAGAACGAAGCAGAGTAGTAGGGAGGGGGAGAAAAGATACATAATTGGTAAAATGATCAAGGGAGATGATATTTTAAATGGGACTCCTGGGAAGGACAAATGTTTAAAAGATGGGTTCAGTAAGAAAGTAACAGAGGAATAATAAATGAAGTAATTATATCAGAATAAAATTGCTTTTTCCAGAGTAGTATTCACAGGGGGAGTTATACCGACATAGTTCTGCTAGAATAATTACACTCTGAACCAGCACAGGCTCTGTGCAGTGGCAGAACTTATTATAGCAATATAATTATCCTACCAACTGGCAAAACTCTAATGTTATAATAGCTACAGCACTATAATAACTTTTTTTTTTTTCTGCTGGACTATTTCCCTGAGAGGCCAAAGAGGTAGGAAGCAATAGCATACCGTAATCACAGGCAAGTGCTGCCTGCCCTCGCCCCGCTGTTTTCTCACCTGCTTGTTCCTCGCCATCCCCAGGGTTCCTCTGAGCTGTGTTCAGTCGCACAGCGCTGTGCTGCTCCAGTTCACAGCTGTATCTGTAGTGCTGCTGTTATTTCAGTTCTGGATAGGTGCTACCCAGACAAGTGAAGGATTCCTGTGTTGGTTTCAAAGGCACTGACTTCTCCTTTGTGCGCACCCATATCATTCTTTCTGTCTCGGCGTTGGCTCCAGCTCATCCATCAGTGTCTTGCTGCTTTAAGCGTTCTCACATCCTATTAACAGCAAAACTGGCCGCGAGACAGAAATACAGTGTGAGGTGCTAGGAATGGCTTTCTTTTGGAGATCAGGGCTTCTGCAGCTGCCTGAGATTAACCCTTCTGGGGAGAACTCTGAACTTTCAGCTGTGCATTCTTACCGTAGCATTTAAAAAGTGAACTCTTACCTGGTGGGCATGCCAGCTGCTGGGGGAAAATGAAACTAGTTGCATAGAATAAATCAGTAAGGCTCTGTAAAAATGCCTTCAAGTATTATGAATTCCCAACACAGTTTCTTACAAAATTACGATTCAATATCTGTCAAAATAGAATGGTTCTCCACAGAGTAGTCTACAAACTGAAAAACTGCTAGATGCTGATGTAGTGATGTCTGCAGTCACCTCCTGTAATTCAGACAAATGGTTTAAATATGAAGAAAACCAGGATTCCATATATCAACTACTGTGAAATGTATAACAATGCAAACGAAAGATGTGCGTGTACTGATTGCTGGTGGAAGCAGTGCAGGGAGCTGAGCATCAACCCAAAGGGGTGCCACGAGCCACCGGTGTTCAAATCTGCTTCCAAAGAGTCTTCATCTCAGGCAACTCAGGAACAGCTATAAACAGAAAGGTTGTTAGCAGTGGATTAGAGCAGGGGAAGAGCTGCCTCATTTCACTGACAGCCACAGCTGATCATGCGTAAGGAACAATCCTCTAGCAGCAGGCTGAGCTCTGCCTTCCCACCCCTGAGTTTGGAGCGGTTCATCTCCTGAGATTTTAGTATAGCTATTTCATTTCTCTTCACTGAGGAGCTGAATCTTTAGCAGATGGCTCTTAACATCACAGGGCTCATCTGTGGCTCTGCTTGGAGCAGGTTAGTTCAGAACAGAGCACTTACAGCAAGGAAGGTGGCTTAGGAGGAGGAGATGACCCAGGAGATGTGTTTTGCTGAGTTCCCAAGTCCCAGCCCATCCTCCTGAGGCTCAAGATAATTCTGTACCTTCTGTACAGGACCTGGAGTTGGAATGGACACAAACTTGCTTTTATCTGTTCTTCTGCTCCAAACATAGCATCTAATTTCTCTGGGTATGGAAATAGGATAGTAATTAGAGCTAAGAAATTCTTCAAAAATATCCAAAGCATTCTGTCAAAGAGACTCAGTATAATTGTTTCTGCCTCTGTTCATCCATCTTTTTTTTGCTCACCTTGGTGGAGGCTGCTGCTGGCAGAGCCAAGGGTAACTGCAACATTCCAGCAATAAAGACGGCATTTGTGAGAAGCAATATGCGAATCCACTTCCAAGACTCTCGTCTGCATGGGAAGCAGCAATCTGTTCCTGTCAGACCGTCAATCCCACCTTAGTCAATGCCAGCTGTTTCTGCTGATGGGTCACAGGGGCCAGGAGTGCTCAAGCAAGAGGGAATTCCTCAGGTTTGCTTGATGGGTGGCATAGAAACAACATAGCTCACGGCTGTTTTTACACTAAGGCTGCCCAGAGGGGAGGTGGTGCCCCATCCCTGCAGACACCCAAGGTCAGGCTGGGGGGCTGTGAGCACTGATGGAGCTGTGGGTGTCCCTGTGCACTGCAGGGCAGTGGGGCCAGATGGCCTTTAGAAGTCCCTTCTAACTCAAATGGTTCTATGGTTCTTGGTTCTGGTGGAAGTCCCTTAAGCTCCAGACCAGAGACTGCTCTCTTCCCTAAGCTTCTATGGCAAAGGGATGGAGAAGAACACCATCTTTCCTTCTGCTTTTCCCCAGGGTCAGGCCACTGCAATACAAAAATACAAACTGCCCATCTCCTCTGATTGAAGTGCTGTGTTCCAGTTGTTTGGAACACCTCTCCTCACTCTAGCCAGGCCCTCTCCTCTGTTACGTTGAACTCCCAGCATTTTACAGTGGATTACAGCCCCGTGTGCTTAATTTCATATTGCTCTGTACCTCATACCTCTACCCCGGCCTTCCCAAGGTGTATGTTGGGCAGCCAGGATAGTGAGGAGAAAGCAGCTTGGCATTCACTGCGATTTAATTAGCGCAGGCAGCAAGCGATTTCACTAATTTGAGCCTATTTGTTGGAAGCCCTTTGTTACAACAATTCACATATGCTTCCCATGGTTCTGTTGGCTGAGCTGTACAAAGCTGAAGGATGTCAGTGAGGATGATGGTGGCAAGGGGTGGTGGGGGCTGCCCGGGGCTGTCGTCATTCCTTCTCTCTGCCCACAGGAGCAGACCAAGCTGCGCAGGGATGCCCTGCTGAAGATGCTGGCGGGGCTCCTGGAGAGCGCAGACGTGGCCTCCCCAGACCTGGAGGAGGAAGGCAAGCTGGAGGAGGAGCGGGCGGCGCTGGGGCGGCTGGCTCAGCTCTCGCAGCGGGACCGCAAGGCGCCCTGTAAAAACTTCTTCTGGAAAACCTTCACCTCCTGCTAGTGCCGCCCTGCTGGGCTGCCCGCCTGCCTGTCACCACACACCCCATCCCCTCAGCTCCTTCCCTGTCCTGCACACCTGAGAATAAAGCATGGTGCCTCGGGGACTCGTGTCTGCCTCTGCGTGCCCCGGGGCCCCGCCTCGTCTCCTGGGAGGGTGGGCGGGGCTGTGGGGTGGCGGCCATCTTGTGCGGCCGCCATCTTGTGCGGCGGCCATGAAGGGGAGCGGCCATTTTGGAAGAGGGCTTTGCAGCTGTGAGGAAGCCTGGGGAGAGCAGAGGGTCATTCTCCTCAATCCTCAATCCTCAATCCAATGTGGGGCTTCCGCAGCTCCTTATGCACCGCAGGGGGGTCAGGTGAGTGTGTGCAGCCGTGCTGTGGTGAGGTGCGGTCCGAGCACTGGCTGTGCTCTGCAGCAAAGGGGTTTGGGCCTGCAGGAGAGCCCTCCCAGGCCTTGTGCCTGTCTCCATCGAGGCTCTGGCTGGAGGGATGTGGAACAGGATGGCTAGGGGCTAAAAGGGGGACCTGGCCCTGCCCTGCCCTTGCTCTGACACCAGGTTATTACCAGAGCAGCTCTCTGGCTGCTCTTTGTGTGGAGGAAACCGGCCCCAGTCCAGGCTCAGTCCTGCTTCTCTCACAGCTTCTTGGTATCCTATCACCTTGTTTTAAAAACCCTATGGAACTTTTGATTTCTGCTGTTCACTCCTTGGGTGACCTTTACTGTTCCCAGAGCAGTGAGGACTACTGCTTTATTTATGTTGGCTTGCTGAGGAACCATCGGAACCTCTATTTTAGAATTGAAAGGCAGGGTGGAGATATGAAACGTAGGCTGAAATGTTTGAGCCTAGCACAGGTATTTACTTATAGGAGGCAGCTGAGGCCTTGGTATGCACTTAGATTTGCAGGAATACTTCTGGGGAGAAGGACGAGGGGAGAGGAAAGCAGTTTAAATTTGCTGTTTGCTTTAATTTTTAGCAGTAATGGTTTGAGTTTGGGAGCTGCTTCATCTCTAGGAATGGGCATGCAAAGCAGCAGGCTCCAGTTGCAAGTTTCAGAGCCTGTCTGCAGGGCCTGGATGGCCATAGCTAGAAGGAAAGAAGCTAGAAGGTTAGCACTGGTTTGGTTTTGAGCCTTTACGTCTTGTTTCTGGATGCCTGTGACCATGAATTCTCTCATCCGCACAGCAGCATTTTGGGTTTATCAGCAGCCAACCTGTTTTCTTACAGTTGAAATAGTGCTCCCAACTCCCCCGCTCTTCCTGAATAATGAGTGGTGCGGTGCTCCACACCAGGTAGGCTGGCTTGCTTATGCCACTTTGTTCTGTGTCAGGTTGCGTTTTCACTGCCTTGTTTGCCATCAAAATTTCTGGCTGTGTCTGGCTTGCAGGAGAGGCTAGAGCCCCGTGGTTTGTTTTATTTTTCATTCCATAATGAAAAATAAGATCCTTGCTGGGGGAACTCAGTGACTCAGTGTATGGGTAATGGGATATGGAGCTTTCCAGCTGTGTTGCCTGAAGCACCCAGCTGGGATGCAGGAGACCTGATTTTATGCCTTGTTTTGCTGATAGCATTCATGTTTTATTATTACCACCGTTTGAATACTTCAGTTTCTTTGTCTTTAAAATGTGCATGATAGCTCTTGTCTATCATTTTTTCTCGGGGTACATGGATGGCAGTCATAAAATCAGTAGAATCATAGAATCACTCAGGTTGGAAAAGACCTTAAAGATCATCGAGTCCAACCACGACCTATCCATGCTACCCTAGCAAGTGCCACGGAAGAGCTAATTATGGCCATTATTGTTATTAAGGCCTGTGTTGCATCATAAGACCAAGATCTTGGAAGTATTCTTGTAGGAAGTGCCTTATTATCTACCATCAAATCTTGTCTGTGATAATAATGCTCATGACTGCGTGCGGTGGAAAAGAGAAACCCTGCAGCACACAGATGCAGGAGCAAGCCCTGTCAGAGACTGCCTTTTCAGCAAGCTGTGCAGGCTGTATTATTTAGTGGTTCCTGGAGGAGAGTGTGGTCAGGCTACTCTCGAGCTTGGAAGTCAAGTTGGAAGTTGAACTCTTCTTTCATCCCTGCAGATGGCTCCTGCTAATGCAAACAGGAGGCACGCTGGCTGAGCACCAAGCAGGAAGCCTGCACCGCCAGTGCACGTGCTGTGGATAGGGGCCAGCACAGTTGAGCCAGCTTCTTTCATCAGTGCTGAAATCAGTGTTTGAGTTGGATGTGGTTCCGCAGTTTCCGTGGTCAGTGTGCTGAGGCTGAAGGGCTGCTAGGTCCGCCTGATGGCAGTGTGTGGTATCAGGGAGTGTAGAGTGACAGATCAGGTGGAGAGGGAGGGATGTAATGAAGGGTTATAGATGGTGTGTCACACGTGGGTATTTTTTATTTAAATGCTTTGCAGAATAATTGCGAGTCTTGCAGTGGTGTAAGTCAAGTAGAAGGGGCAGTGTGCTGGTGGGTTTTTTTAATGCAATGGCCAACACATTTTTAAGGCACCGCTCAGGACAATTTTGTGTGTGCATGTGAGCTATCTTGACATTTAGAAAAAATAATTGAAAAAGACATGCATTATTTTCTCAGAAGGACCAGCAGACTTTTACAGTCAGCTATCATATACATTTCCTCGCCTAATTCGGTGCATGGTATGGTTTCACAGAATAGAAGGTCCTGTAAAGGTCCCTTCCAACTCTAATGATTCTATGGGGGTATTCAGTGCGTATGTTTGCACTGAACTGTATAACTCCTCGTTATACATAAAGCTGCAGAAGGGTGGTGAAATGATCATGGGGCTGGAAACCTGCAGCATATTCAGTAGCAAGGTGAGCTCTGGGTGTGCATATCCTACTCCATGATGAACATGAAGGAGTCTGAGGTAGCTTATTCCTTGTTGAATACAGGGTAAATCTCATTTACCATGAGATCAGAATGTGTGTATGTGGATAGATATTGTGCAGGAACTAGCCAGATATTAATTTGAGATTTATTAGCTTCCCTGGTGACTTGTTTGTGTGTCCTTTTAATAGTGAAGATCACGTTTTAATACATGCTGTCAGGGGACATAGCTTGTGGGGAATCAATACTTCAATGCGTTCATTTTCATGCTGGGAAAAAGGAGAGAGTTTCAATCTGATCAGACTTCCCAGGGACACTGTCTGTCTTCAGATAGCTGGCAAGCAGAGATAAGTTTAGTGGGAAGAGTTCCACTTAGTCTGGTGGGTTTGTGTCTGTTTTCAGGTAATGCACAGCCCTTGAGGAACCTTTAGCGAATTATTGCAGTTACTGAAAACTAAGGTTAAACCAAAGACTGCAGGGAGAATGATGGTTGACCAAGGTATCTTTTGTCCTACACTGTTGTTGTCTTTGGGTCTGCTTAGAGGCACTGAGTGCTGATTTGAAAAGTTGTTAGTCTGTTATTAAAAAACCAAAAATCTGTTTTGCAGTCGATGGAATATACAGATGCAATATTGGATAAATGTGGGAGAGATCAGCCAGGTTTGTGCTTGAAAATTGAAAATGTAACCTCCTTTTCTTCTCTCGGCTCCTCTGTTCACAGTGCCCCCAGCAGCAGCAAGCTGCAGTTTGTGCTCCGTGGGGACTGTTCAGACTCTATGACATCTTCATGTGAGACTGCAGCACAGGAAATCCTGACCACCTCTTGATGACTTGAGAGAATGTTTCACACAAGGGATTTTTCCAGTCTTTGCTGAGTCGGAGAGGGGGACATGAGGGAACCATTCTATGATTCTGTGGTCAGGGAGTATTTGCATTAGCCTGGCAGCACAACCAGAAGCTGTTGGTCTGTAACCTGGACTGCTGAGGTTCATCTCACACAAAGGGTGATCAGTTTAACTGCCTGCACTGAGCCTGTGAGCTCTCCTGTAGCAGGCACATCTGAGCGGGGTATTCTCTTTGCTGACTCCAGCACCTTTGGAGCTGACTGAGCTCTCATTCTTAGATTTGTATTTCATTTTACAGCCTTGAGAGGGAGGTACCTAATGAAACAAAAGTCACCCTTTCAGTTTCTTTACCATAGGTGCTTAGGAGAGAGCTCTTGGTGTCTGGATTCAAACTTTCCAACAGGTCTGCTTCCCAGTTGTTGCATTACACAGGGCTTGTAGAAAGAGCAAGTATCTGGGAAGTGAAGGAAACTTGAAACATAGTTCAAATCTATGTCTTGTACCTGCGCAGAGAGCTCTTGTCTTGAGTGATAGGCTGGGCTGGGTGAGGGTCTGTGTCTATGTCTGCCAGGCCTGCAGTGCACAGAGGAGTAAGTAGCTCTGCTGGGAGGGAGCATGTCGTCTCTTTGGCCAGTGGCATTCAGCTGAGAATGAGGAACTGTTGGTTCTAGCTGTATCTTGGGGGGCTGGAGGACTCTTGTTTTGAGCTAATTAATGTTTAATGTAAATTTTAATGTTTAATGTAAAAGCTCTAAACAGTGTAGCTGAGAACTTGCCTGAGGTCAAGCCTCCTTCCCATCATCAAATTGTTTCCTGGTTAGATAAGTTTGCTATTAAAAGAGGGTACTTCACCAGGTTGTTCTTGGCTGGTTTATGTTAGTCTCCTCTTGACAGATAGGAAGAAGCCAAGGAGGTCACTGCTGCATGGAGCAAAAATAGTTTGCACATCTGGTTGATTTAGCCATGCTTTTTTTAATGCATTTGCAAGAACAAGTCGTCAGAATAGCTCTAGGTCTATTGTCTGCATTAGCTGGTGAGCCTAGCACAGGCAGCAACCCAATCTGTAAAGGAAGGGAAGGGGGAGTATTTCTACAGTGGCTTTTACACAGAGCTTGTAAGTCTTCTGGTTGGAGCAAGACTGCAGAGCGAAGCCCTGAGGTCAGGGCACGTCCGCATGCTGTGAGCCTCCTTGGCCCTGTGCTGCCAATCCAGTGGGAGCTAAATCAGTTCTGTGCTGAGCCGTCCTCTGCCGGAAGCTTAGGTGCAGGTGTACAGACAGGGAGCTGCAGGTGCCTAGGAAACATCAATATTCCCTTCTGGAGCCCAAGGCATGGGGAGCAAGCAGCAGTCTTTTTTGCTGTGAAATACTGGCTTGCAAGCAGCGCTCAGCTTTGTGAAGTGATGAATTTACC